CAGGCCGCCGTTGCTGCCGGGGGCGGGTGGGGGCGCTCTAGCCTGCGGGAGGGAGGCCGCGCGGACGGCCGTGGGGCGGGGCGGTGGGTGCTCCCTACAGCTCCTTCAGGCTCTGGCCGTATTAGGTGTCCTGTGCTGCACGGAGTCACGGCCCTGCAGCTGAGAGGCTGCTTTAAAAAATGCTATGGGACTGGGAGCCTTCATGAAACCTTTGACAGGAAAGGCCTGCCAGTGTCTGTCCAGAGGAGGCACTGAGTCCCAGATCAATATCCTGGGTAATGGGTTGGAGGGTGCATGCCTGAAGGTGACATTGAACTGGGTGGAGCTGTGGGTGCTCTTCAGAGCAGGACTAGGATCCAGGGTGACCAGGACAGACTAGAGAAATGTCCTGCAATCAGCTACATGAGAATTGACAAGAAGTGTTAAGTCCTGCGCCTGGGATGGAATAACTGCATGCAGAAATATATGCTGGGGAATACCTCCAGACAAGGAGTTGGGGGTTATAGTAGAGCATGCAGTAGACCACATGCTGCTTTTTGCCCCCCCCCCACCCCCCCAGAAAAAAAGGCCAACAGCATAGGGGTCTGTTATCAACAGAAGTGTTACTTGCAAATCAAGGGAAGAGATTCTTCTGCTCTATTCAGCACTAATGAGTCCTCACTGGGAGTACTGTGTCCAGTTTTGGGCCCCAGACTTCAAGAAGGATGTGGACTGATTGGAAAGTCCAGCACAGGGCAGCAAAAATGATTAGAGGCCTGGAAAGCATGACTTATGGGGAAAGGCTGAAAGAGCTAGAGTTACTTAGTCTGGAGAAGAGAAGATGGGGGGGGGGATTTTGATACTAGTCAAATTCCTGAAGAGACAGGATTAGGGGGACAACATTAATAAAATACAGTAGAAGAAATTTAGGTTGGTGATTAGGAAAAATGTTCTGCCTACTAGGGTTGTCAAACATTGGAAGAGGCGACCCAAGAAAGTTTGGGAATCTTCATCCCTGGAAATTTTCAGGAGCAGGTTGGACTGATGTTTGCCTGGGATGGTTTAATCGGGGATGATCCTGCCTTGAGCCCTCATGAGGTCCCTTCTAGCTCACCTTTTCCATGATTCTAATGATGTAAGGTGTATCTTTAAAATTAACAGTTTATTGTACAGTAATTTCAGTCCAAGGTAGAGTAGAAGAGGCAGTTCTTCTGGCTGGGAATGAACGCGCAGGAAAAAAAATAGCTTGCTTACTGCTGATTTATTTGCCAATGCAGAGCAGAAAGAGGGCAAAGAAGAGTGTATCAAAATTAAGCTGAAGGAATCCTATTCTTGATAACCCCCCCCCAGTTATGTGCATGTTGGGATGGAAATTCCCTCTACTGGGGGGAAAAAAAACAACCTCCTGCTAAGAAGTTGTGCAAGTTATGAAATGAGTCCTTGTGCATTGGTCATCATTGTTGCCACTTTGAAGTGATTTTTTTTTTTTTGTGTGTGTGTGATATTATCAGAAACTTGACCCTACTAAATACTTTTACTACATGCATGTGAGGTGCAAGACCAATTGCTCTCAAGAATCTAGCCATCCACTTAGGAGCCTGGTTTTTGTAAAAAATCTTACCCCCAGTTTGTTCTGTTCAGTCACTTTAGGGAAGATATGCACCTTCCCCTCCCCCATTAGATTGGGGAAATACCAGAAAATCTATTAATCAAACATTTGGTGACACTATTGGTCATGACAACTCACAGGAAACTCCTGCAGACTACTGTCAGGAAATGAAGCTTCAAAGATGAGCTGAACACCCAATTAAACCCACTTAACAGTGTAACTGACCTCAGGTGGGAGTCATCCTCAGTCTCTGTGGGTGTGCGGTCTGATAACCAGCCTCATGTCTATTTTAAACATTAATGCTGGTAAATGGCTGTCATGTAAAATTGTGATTAGTCCAAGATTTTCTTCCCAGCTCTGCACTGATGCCCTGTGTCCTGCCACACAAGCTATTTAACTCCTTGGTGTCTCAACTTTCCTTTATAAAATTAGATTATAGTTGCCTAATTAAACACTGTTCTGAATCTTCACTACAGCTTCTAAACTGTGCTGATAGGGGATTATATGAAAAATGAGACAGAGATGCCACACTTTGTTACCCTGTGATGCACTTTGTGGTTGGGCTGTCTTATTTGAATAAACTGTAAGGATGATTTGGCTAAGAGAGAACTTTGAACCCAAGTACTCTGTTAGGAAGGTCCCCTTATTTTGTTTCCAGCACAGCAGTCTAGAGCCTTCCTCTATGCCCATGCTGTACCACAGGAAGTAGAGGAACTGGTGCATGTTGTATGGTGATGTCTGAGTTTAGGAGAAATCTACCTGGGCAGTTCAATTTCTAATGGTCTTTCTTTTGTCTTGCCTAAGCAGAGTATTGGCCCTTGCATGCTGGAGGCTTCAGTGCAGCACTGGGACACTGTGGAAAGTAGAGCATCTTAGTGCCAAAAAAACATGTCAGCAAAAAGAGCCTTAGTGATTCTGGCTAAAGGAGCGGAGGAGATGGAAACTGTTATCCCCACTGATCTTATGAGAAGGGCTGGAGTGAGTATGCCAACCACTAGAATCCCTTGGGGTCCCTTTGAAATCAAAGCTGTTCTGCTCTTGAATCAGTCTTCAAGCAGCCCATGCACTGTTCCTTATCTTCGTTACCTGTGAGGTACAATGCATGTCTAGGGTACTTTGACAAAGTACCAGAGAGTAAAAAAGAAGGAACTGAGTAATGCTCTATATACAGTTAGGGCAAGCATCCAGAAGACCATGAGCAAAGCCTGCCAGTGGATGATGAATCTCTTAACAGACTTACTTAGTCTGACTCTTCTGGAATGTAAAAGGCTCTGGGTTGAAATGGTCCCTGACTAGGTTGTTCAAATGGTGAGTTACTGTTTGACCTTCTACACTACGAAACTCAATATCACCGCAGATGTTTCTCCCTGAATGTTGCTTTTATAGGAGGGAGACTTTTGGAGTGAGTTTGTCTTCACAGCTTCCACTTTCACTTGCTTTAAATGCCCTCTTAACTAAAAGATACCTGTGAATACTATGTAACTGACCCCTGCAACTTTCTAAAGCAGGCAATTTTCCTGAGTCCTAATGTTGTCTCTCTTTCTGATAGATCAAGGTCACAGTTGCAGGCCTAACAGGAAAAGAGCCAGTGCAGTGCAGCCGAGATGTCTTTGTTTGTCCTGACACCAGTTTGGAAGATGCCAGAAAAGAGGTTTGTCCTGTTGATTTTTGGCATGTTGCTTAACACTGGCCTTTTGTGGTTCACAACAACTTAACACAACATTAATGAAGGAAAATAAATATAACTTTAACTCACTTCTTGCAGCAGCAGCGTCACATGCTCAGAGATGCATCCTGCAATTTTTGTAGAAATCTGTCTGCCTATAGATAGATCTATATATATCTGTCTGCCTAGAAAATACATATATATTTTTTCAAGAAAATACTAAAGTTTTGTACAGCTTGTCACACTCCATCCAGACACTTAAAATATTTTACAAAATCAACTCAGACTTTTATTTTAAGGTGTTATGTAGACACTCTGAGAAAATAGGATGACTTACATAAACAGAGAGGCCCTGCTTAGGAAGGAAGCACAGTAACAGGGCTGTGTCAGGAGCTTTCGCAGCACAGCTCTTGTAATCACAGTGATGCACTGACATTCACACTCTAGGGTACTGAGTTCACCCACACTCAGACTTCTTGTTGGCAGAGGTTGCCTTGGAACAAGTGTCTCTAATACTCTGGTCTTTCTCCTTTCCCAAACCCCAGTGAGGCACTCCATTAAGTAAATGTTTTGGAAGTTCCCTAGAGAGATTAGGATTTATCTGTTACCTATTACAGATAGGTCTTTTCCATGAACAATTTTAATAACACACTAACAGAATGGTGTTTCTGTAGGGGCCTTATGATGTGGTGGTCCTACCAGGAGGTAATCTAGGAGCTCAGAACTTGTCAGAGGTAAAAGACTTCTCTTCAGCAATACCAAGGTCTGCCCATCTGCCAGAATGTTCTTAATTCCTTCAGTGATGATTATTTTTATCTTCTACTTCTGCAAATTTAGTTAAATATTTTAGAGCAGTATTGCCCAACCCTCCTGGCAGGTGGGTTGGATCCAGCTGGTGGTCCTGATCCGGCTCCTGGGGCAGGAGTAGCAGACCCCATCTGACTAGGCAGAAGGGTTGGGGGCAGGCCAGCCATAACCTGGCCCTGCAAAGGAAAGGAGCCAGACCTGGTCCCATGGGGGTAGGGGGAGGAATGGGGCATGGCCCAGCTCCAACCTGGCCCTGCAGGGGAAGTGAGCACAGCCCAGCTCCAACCTGGCACTGTGGGGGAGGAAAGGAGGCATGGCTTGGCCCCAAACAGGCCCTGCAGGGGGAAAAGGCAGTGTGGTCCAGCCCCTAATTCAGAAGTGGGAGGGAGGGGGTGTGGACCTGTCTGAGGGTGGGGGGCACCTTTTGGGCTTGGGAATTTGGTAGGAGGGAGGGTGGCTGCATTGATGACTGTTTGTCCTCTGCTGCCAATTTTCTGGACCTGTGTAAGCTAATAAACTGTTAAGCAGCTTGGCCCTAATAACTCTGAAAATAAGGAGGTGCTTTGGATTCTTATGGTGTGGAGATGAAATAATTGGTAAACAAAGATTTAATGTAAGAAAGTGTAAAGTAGATTGAAGCCGTAAGCACTTGGGGAATAGGTGACTGAATTAAACCTGATGTCCATTCAGTTTGCTATTCTTTCTCTGACAGTGCCTAGTACTAGATTCATTGGGGTAAAGTCTAAGAAACTTGTCTCCTGTCTGGCTTTTTTTAATCTTACCATGGCCTCTATAGGTTAGACATTGGTTTCAGCTGTGAAATAGGAGGTAAATATCCCTTCTAATTGTTATCTCGTGTCGCTTTTGAAGGTTCTCCATTTACAGCTTCTTTTAAAATCTGTTTGCTCTATAAGACAGAAGGACTGAAGTTCCTGATTTTATTTCTCATTCCTTGACTTACATTTTCTACTATAAAAATATCTTGACTTCTTATGTTAAAATAAATCATTATGTAAGGTGATACGGTTTCTTTTATGCAGTCTTCTGCTGTTAAAGACATTCTGAAGGACCAGGAGATGAGGAAAGGCTTGATTGCTGCCATTTGTGCAGGTGATGAAATATCTTGCATTGCATTAAAGTGTTGTCTGGACAAGTGCCTCTTACAAATCTCTGTCACTCAGCTACTTAGTAATAAAAGAAATTCAAATGCCCACCAATCTAGCAGAAACAAGCAGCTCTGTAAACCACTGTGACACTGATCTTGCAAGGTGTCAATGTTTTTTATATCTGTGCTGGTCTCTTCAAAATTTAACCTGCTCTAAAATAAACGTAATGTGCTAGGAGGTTCTATAAAATATCTGCTTATAGCATTATCTCTGCCAGGATGCATTCTGCTGGCAGGACATAGTCACAATAGCTTTCTTGAGTATAATGTAAACGTGGGCCTCTTGCCCTTTAGCTTCAGAAGGAAGGTTAAATTGTCACAGGACATTCTCATAAGCAAGCAGAAGAAAAAAATCTAGACACAAAATCACCATAGTCTGGGTACAAATGAATTCAAGTGAATTTAGACTAGTTATCACTAGATCTCTATCAAAATGGGAGGTCATTTCAAGTGCAGTTTGTCCAAGATCTGGTTCCAGTTCATATTTGTATTAATGCTCAAATAATGAAATGGACATTTTGCCAACAAACAGTACAGGCAGTCCTCAGACTTACGGCACAATTGGTTCCTGAAAACTGTATCTTAAGTCGAAACATTGTAACTTGGAACCAATGTTTTTTCTTGTCAGAAACAATGTTATAAATGGGGGATTGGTTCCTGAACCAAGGCCCAATACCCTATTTTCACCAAAAATACCCCAGAACTTTGTACTCCATCAATTATAGATGAGTAATACAGCTACATTAATGTATTTATGTTGTAAATAGCAATCATTGATTTGGAAGAATTTCTTTGAGGTGACTTTGGACTTTTAAAAGGCTCTTGGTTGGACTTTTTGAAGAGTTCTTGGCTGGAGTCTTCTCAGGAGTCTTGGCTGCAGGCTTTTCTGGAGTCTTGTCTGCTTTCTTAAAGAAAGTGTCCAAGGAAGTTTGGACAGATGTTCTCCAGGGAGATGAGTGACACAGCAAACCTGTTTGCTGACGTGGCATCACATCAGATCAAGCATTGTAAAGTCAAAACTGACATCATAAAGTTGAAACAGTGCCAATTTATAAATGTAAGTGTGAAATGTTGTAAGTCGAGGACTGCCTGTATAGCAGACACCAAACTGGGAAGGGGCAGCAGCACTTTGGAAGGCCAGATTAGAATTCAGAATGGCCTGAAATCCAGCAGGATGAATTTCAGGTACTACACTGAGGAGGAAGAAATCAAATAAGGACTAGGGTAGTGGGTCACAGCTTACATAAGAATCAGCCATGCAGTGCTGTTGCCAGAATGCAGATCTGATTCCAGAATGCATTAACAGGAATGTCATGGGTACTACAGGAAGTAGTTACTTTGCTCTGTTTTGACACTGGTGAGGCCTAAGAAGTGCTGTTCAGTTTTGGCCCCACACTGCAAGACAGATATAGTCAAACAGGAGAAAGTCTACTGGAGAACAACAACAATAGGAAGTTTAAAAAATGACCTGAGGGAAGGGCTGAAGGAATGGGGTTTGTTTCCCCTACAACTAAGACTGGATGCAGAGGAGTGACCAGGTATCATAAAAAAGATGTGATTATGTGGCTACTGGGAGAATAACAAAAATTAGCTTGAATTTGCAGCAGGAAGGATTTAGGTTGGTTGTTAGGACAATATTTACACTGTAAGGGGTGTGGACCATAAGACCAACCCACCAAGGCATGTGGTGGGACCTCATTCAGTAGAGGTTTTGATCAGAGTATGTATGACTGGGGCAGTGTGGGAAGGGGGAACTGATGATCCCCTGAGATCTATTCAGCCCTCCTCTTCATAGAAGTCTATGTATTAGAATGTCCTTAAGTAAATATACCCAGTAGAATATACTTTCACCGTGCCTTTCACTTCTACTTCCAACATGGCTTTTGTTTCACTTGGAATGTTGTGGAAAGGCAGAATTTTATTTCCCTGGCTATCGCAACATCTGTCAGAGGGCTTAGTCCAATCACCTTGAGGATTTTTTGTGTTCTTGTAGTGAGGAGGATGTGAATTTCTGCTTCTCTTCTTGTTTGTGCTAAAACACAATTAATATAAGCTCTGAATAGCCCGTATAGAGCAGTGAATTTTGTTTACAAAGAGCCATTTACTTAGCGATTTATTATGCAAATAGTTACAACTAGCAGTAGCAAAACAGAAGTTCTTTCTCTTAGAAGTGACCCATAAATGAGTCTAATAAACAATAAATAGACATTGGTAACCTCAGCAAATTTTGTCTTCAGAAATTTCTGGAATTCCCACAAGGGTTTTTCTGCATTACTTGTTATCACACTTCTTAGAATGCTTCTTCCTCAATTCAGTTCAATTGGGAAATGCCATCTTTGTCCACAAAAAGACTTACTACAAATAAAAACTTCCAGTTGCTGGCTCATCATTTGGCTAAGAGACCATATGTTAGTATCCAAATGATTGGCCCTCCTTGGGTACTCTACACTTAAGTGGCTCAAACATTCAAGGTTTTACCTAAAGAATATTTTAAATTTATATACCGATAACAGATCTAGAGTTACCAAGGCAAGAAATATTTACCAAAACTGTGATCAGCTTAATTTTCTGCCTCTCTCCTTTCCCATTTTTAAGACAAGTCTTAACTTCACAGTTGAATACCATGATCTCTTAATCTGCAAATCATAGACTCTTATTCAAAGAAATCCAGAGCTAAAAGACACTTATTTAATCTCTTCTTTAATGGAAGTTTCCCATGTAGGGCCTTGATTTAATGAAATATGGGATACTACATATCTGTAGTAAGACCCTTTTATTTATTTATTTATTTTTTACTGTCTAGTTTACCCGTTTCATAGCAGCAGAATTCATGTAGAAGTGGAATCTTGGGATCCATGTCTATGTTGGATCTTTTTTTGAACCCAGTAATGGCCCAGTGCTTGCATGTTTGGGGGCTTTCTTGTTTATTTGTTTTTTAAAGTATTTGTCTGCAGTGGAACTGAATTTATGACTAGTGTAATTCTTGCAGGTCCAACTGCCCTTCTGGCGCACGGAATAGGGTTTGGGAGCAAAGTTACTACACATCCTTTGGCTAAAGATAAAATGATGAATGGAGGTAAGTATAATACAAGGATGAGAATTTCTTCTCCAGATCCCATGGCCAGAAATTCTGTGGGGTACAGTGTGACTTAGTTGTGTGTTTCTTTAAGAAAACAGAGAAACTCCTGTGTGATTACCTAGCAGCTTTGAAGCAGCATAATATATTCTTGCACAGAATGCAAAATTCAATTGGATGTGCTGAGGAAATGTCTTAAAGCCTTCAGTGACTTCTGCCGGCAGACATTGGGAACTGGTGGGTTCAAGCCTAGTATTGAACTAGCTATAACAAAGGGGACCACTGTATCCAGAGACCACTGTCTGTCCATATTAAAACAATGTCAAGAAAGATTAAATCTCTTCTAAGAGCATTTCCCTCTCCCTGTTTGCAGCCAGCTCCTTCTTAGCCTTCTAAGTTTTACCTAAAGGAACCCAGCACAAATAATGATGTCATTAAGCGGTACCATTCCCAGACACTCAGGGTTTCACACGCCACTACATCTAAAGGTTTCTGCAGCCACTGCCCCAGGTTTCTGACATCAGCAAGTCCCAAAGTCTTGCCCAGAGCAGTTAGATCAGCTCCACTAAGGGAAATCTTCATGTACGTAGTTTTCCTGTGCATCCTGGGTGACTGAGGTTCATATAATTGTACTCGCCTCTGGCACCAGCACACTCTCCTTCTTGGACTTGAGGTCTTCAGGGGAAGGATCCATTGTGTCCTCTGGATCTCCCTATATTTCCCCACCCCAAATCTCTCCCAGGTTGAAGGGAATGTCTTGATCCCAGGCTTGATGTCCCCAGATGCCAGCTGCTACTTGCATGCTGTGCTCCTGGAGTTCTCGCTTTAAGTGATTAATGGTGCTCGGACAGGGGCCACGGTTTACTTTGGCTCCTCTTTTGGCTTGATGTTTAGTCATGGTCTGTACCGATTTTTTTCGGTAAGGTTTCTCAGCTAGCCTTTTCCTGGCCCAGGGATTCCTGTTGTTGGGCGTTATGTTGATTTACTTTCCTCAATTTTTCTTTTTCCAAATTCCGAGACAGTCCTTTTAGGGTTTGATTGCTTGTTTCTAACTGAGCACATTTGTCCTTTAGAACTTGGATCTGCTCTTCCTTTTCCTCAGTTTCTGAGGCTTTCTGAGCTTTTTCCTCTGTTGCTATTCTTACAGCATGCCACAGTAGCTAAACCAGAGCACTGTGTTGCCTTTGAGCCGAGGGTTTTTCACAAAGGCCAAAATTTTCAAATTGAACCTTGATGTCCCCTATGGAAAAGCCTGGGGGGCACACATCCTCCCTCCATGGGCTAGGACCACCCCTCAAGATCTTATGGAGAGGGGAAATTTCCTCCCTCTGTACCCTCTTAACTTCATGGTCCCCTGCTCCAAGCTTGGGGAACTTCTTCCTGAGTAAGGACACTTTCTTAAACACGCTCTGAGCCTGTTGGTTTCCAAGCCCTCAGCTGCCCGACTGGCTATGCCCCTGCCCCGCAGGAGTTCTATAACCAAATATCTTCCCTGGGATATGTCTGCCCCCTTGGGTGAGTTCTGTATGTTCCTGACTCTAAGCCTGTTGGTTCCCAAGCCCTCGGCTGCCCAACTTCTTGCAGGAATTCTCTAACCAAATCCCACTCTGTGGATGTGGGTTCTGTAGGGTGACACAGTGTCTAATAAACTAGAATTTATGATGATCCTGTGAGTTGGTCCTTTGTAGCCAACAGCTGCTGCCAGGTGGGCAGGGGACGTCTGCCTGGCCTGGCCCTCCTCTGCCCTGCCGTGCCGGGTCCTGCCTCCCAGGCTGCAGCGGCCCTGAGTGGGGAGGGCAGTGGGACAGTCCTGCAGTGGGCAGCTTGTACCTGCCCCCCACCTTGGGCTCTGCTCCAGTCTTGCTGCCCATGGGGGAGGGGGAGCCAGGCTCCATGCTCTGCTCTGGCCACAGCAGCCACCGCTGCTGCCTCCCACAGGTGGCAGCTGGGGCCCCCCTTTGGCAGGGCAGGGGGCTGCAAGTAGGGAGT